GGTTTTTGTTTTTTGATTTGGGGGGGGGGGTTGGGGTTGCACTGCAAATAATAAATGTGCACAGTGCATAGGAATTCATTCATTTTTTTTTCAAATTATAATCCGGCCCTCCAACAGTTTGCCGGACTGTGACCCAGCCCTCTGTTCAAAAAGTTTGGGGACCCCTGGTGTAGATGAACCCTCACATAAGTGACTTTTTGAGGGGTAGATGAAGAAAATTGCTTTTAAACAGTTGCATCAATGTCACTTGATCCTGACAGATGAACATCACCCATCTCAAAAAAAAGAAAGAAAGAAAAGCAAGATATGAGGAAAGGACATATGGATTGTATATATATAGAGAGAGAGTTAGAGCTCTGATAAGAACTTGTGACAAGTTATGTGAGACATATAGTAAGTTAGAGTAGTCTAAAAGGGAAAATGAAGGAATATATTGAATTATTTGGATGGATGTGCTAATGTAATTGAGGTTGACATACTAACAAATTCATCAATAGCTGTTAAAATGTCTTCTTTGTCTACTTAGTAAACTGAAAAAAAATAGCTCTGTATATTTCTCCCCCTTTTCTGTCTGGGATATTCAATACTTAAATTGATCGACTGTGTTTAGGCTTGGAAAAACCAAATATATGAACATTGATTTATAATGGGAAAGATCAATGGTTTTAAGACTTGGTGGGATCTCATCCAAGTGAATGAAGCAAAAGAAATGTCAAATACTGTGTTCGTGTGTGGCCTTATGTTTGGACTTCATTTCAATACCAGTCAGAAAAGAGAGCCTCCTTTATCGGTAAACCAATATAATGTCAATATCTGTGCTTCTTCCAAATATCCTGAGAAATATCGGACAAGAACGATGAGAATATTCTGTCCATGGGAGACAGGTGGAAGTGCATCATATACATGCATTTCGTTTCATTCTTCATTATTTTATTATTTATTTATTTAGAAATTTTGTATATCGCTCTTCTCACCTCCATCGAGGGACTCAGGCCAGTTTCCAACAACAATATCACAAACAATCATTAAAAACATCATATTCCATATTACACTAAAACATTAAAATAGCAAAATACAGTCATTTATTATTATTATTATTATTATTATTATTATAATAACTTTATTTGTACCCCGCTAGCATCTCCCAAGGGATTCGATGCAGCTTACAACAGGCCGGAGCCCAACACAATACAACAATACAATACATAGCAAATAAAAAAGTTAAAGCAGAAAACAATAGCAATAGCAATACAACAGGACATTATTAAAAACTGAGCCGGCTGGAGTAGGGTACAGGATTAAAAAGTGAGGGATATGGGATTAAAATATAAGTGCAGTGTGCGGTGAGGGTGATCTTGACTCTACTAAAGTGCTTCTGGGCTTTGGTAGTGGGGTTCCTAATCTGAGAAGTCACGTTGGAACAGCCAGGTTTTCAGGTTCTTTCTGAAAACCTCCAAAGTAGGGGCCTGTCTGAGATCTTTCGGGAGGGCATTCCAGAGGCGGGTAGCCACCACAGAGAAGGCCCTGTCCCGCGTCCCCACCAAACGCGCCTGCGACGCGGACGGGATCACGAGCAGGGCCTCTCCTGATGACCGGAGTGAACGTGTGGGTTCGTAGACTGTGATGCGGTCACGCAGGTAGGGTGGTCCCAAACCGTTCAGGGCTTTGTAGGTAAGCACCTGCACCTTAAATTGGGCTCGGAAAATAAACGGCAGCCAGTGGTGCTCCTTATACAGGAGGGTTGACCTCTCTGTAAGGAGCCCCAGTTAACATCCTGGCTGCTGCCCGTTGGACCAATTGGAATTTCCGAGCCGTTTTCAAGGGTAGCCCCACGTAGAGCGCATTGCAGTAATCCAGTCTAGAGGTGACCACCCCGGCCAGATCAGCCTTAGCGAGGCCTATTTAACTCCAAAAATACAGTATATATTCGAGTATAAGCCTAGTTTTTCAGCCCCTTTTTTAGGCTGAAAAAGCTCCCCTCGGCTTATACTCGAGTCAAGGTTATTTATTATTTTATTCTGTTATTAGTATTATTTTTATTTCTTGTATTATTTTACTTTCTTTATTATTATTACATTTACAGTATTTTACCCTATTATTATTATTATTATTACATTTATTATATTTTATTATTGCATTTATTATTTTACTCTATTATTACATTTATTATTTTGCTCTATTATTACTGTTATTATTGCATATCCATTATTTTACTTTGTTGTTAGTATTATTATTATGGTTACATTTATTATTTTATTCTCATTATTGTTGGAAGGATGTGCAAGTATATTTACGTTGAAGAAGGTTAAAATAATGATTTAATCAGACTTGGCCAGTCTTATCTCAAATTACAGTTTTATGTAAATAATATTAAAAAACATTTCACCTCCTGGTGCCTCAGTTAATAATGTTATTGGTAATTATTTTTATTTTGAAATTTACCCGTAGTGGCTGCATTTCCCACCCTCAGCTTATATTCGAGTCAATATGCTTTCCCAGTTTTTTGTGGTAAAAATAGGCGCACCTCAGCTTATATTTGGGTCGGCTTATATTCGAGTATATACGGTGTGTGTGTGTGTGTGTGTGTGTGTGTGTGTGTGTGTATGTGTGTGTGTGTGTGTGTGTATATATATATATATATATATATATATATATTAGAGAGAGGGAGAGAGAGAGAGACGTCCTCTGCCAGGTGTTGCTGTGGCCCAGTCTGGTGATCTGAAAAATAAAGTAATGAGAAAGTACTGGTTTCTAATATATGTAATTTCTTTATGTTTGTGGTAAACAGTATTTATTGCTGTTTCTTTGTCAGTGTTCCCATTACTACAATGGAACATGCAACATATAATTGTCCTTCTTTAGGGGCCCCTTTCAGATCTATGATACTATATCTCCCTGTGTGTGAATCATATATATCTATCTATATCTATGGCTGGATGGCTTTGATTACGTTTTTTTGCTCTGGTGAAGGGAGTTGGACTGGATGGCCTTAAGTATTTTCTGTTGGTCATGGGGGTTCTGTGTGGGAAGTTTGCCCCAATTCTGTCGTTGGTAGAGTTAAGAATGCTCTTTTATTTTAGGTGAGCTATAAATCCCAGTAACTACAACTCCCTAATGTCAAGGTCTATTTTCCCCAAACTCCATCTGTGTTCGTATTTGGGCATATGAAATATTTGTGCCAAGTTTGGCCCAGATCCATCATTATTTGAGTCCACAGTGCTCTCTGGATGTAGGTGAACTATAACTCCCAAACTCAAGGTCGATGTCCAATAAACCCTTCCAGTGTTTTCTATTGGTCACGGGAGTCCTGTGTGCTAAGTTTGGCCCAATTCCTTCATTGGTGGAGTTCAGAATGCTCTTCGATTGTAGGTTAACTATAAATACCAGCAACTTCAACTCTCAAATGACAAAATCAATTTTTTGAGTGATGGTCACTCCTTGGGTTAGTAGGTGGCCAAATTTGGCAGCAATTCGTCCAGTAGTTTTTGAGTTGTGTTAATTCCACAAACGAACATTACATTTTTATTTATATAGATATGTTAGGCATGGGCCAAATCTGGCCCACCCTCCAGGTGTTTTGGACTCCAAATCCCACAATTCCTAACAGCCCACCTACTGCTTGGAGGGAGGCCCAAAGTTGCCCCATGCCTGGCATATACACTAGTTATTATTACGTGACAGTATCGTGCCCCAAAGAATGGGCCCAGCACTGGGTATCTTCAAATGTCACTATATTGGGTTGTTGTGAGTTTTCCGGGCTGTATGGCTATGTTTCAGAAGCATTCTCACTTGACGTTTCGCAGGCATCCTCAGAGGTTGTGATGTCTGTTGGAAAATAGACAAGTGAGGTATATATATCTGTGGAATGATGTCCAGGGTCAGAGAAAGAAGTCTTGTCTGCTGGAGGCAAGTGTGAATATTTTGATTGGCCAGATTGATTAGTATTGAATAGCCTTGCAGTTTCAAAGTCTGGCTGGCTGCTGCCTGGT